GATCAGCCTTAAGTACATATCTTTTTTTCTTTAGTATTGATGTTCTCACTAGTCATTTGCAAGAGGATGTACATTGTGTATGCTTTTTGCTGATGATATTTTTCTTGTTCATAAAACTAGAGAGGTAGTTAAAGGTAAACTTAAATTATGGAGGTCAACCTTAGAGTTTAAAGGCTTTCTCCTGAGTAAATATAAAACTGAATATATGGAGTGTAATTTTAGTAGTAATAGACCTAGTAATGTGATTGTGACTTTGGGCGATGAAGTCATTAATAAGAGTATGTTTTAGATATCTTAGATCAATTGGTCAGAGTGATGGTGAAATAGATGGGGATTTTATTAGCAGAATTCAAGTTGGATGGTTGAAATGGAGGAATGCATCAGGCTTGTTGTTTGATAGAAAAGTCCCCCTCAAACTTAAGGGAAAATTCTATAAGATGGTGGTCAGACCTGCAATACTTTATGATGCCAAATATTGGCCATTAAAAGATAAGCATAATACTAAGTTAAATGTTGCAGAGATGAGGATGCTCAGGTGGATGAGTAGCTTTACTCTTAGAGATAGGATACGAAATGAGCATATACGTGAAAAGGTTGGAGTAGCTCCAGTGGAAGATAAGATTAAAAAGAGTCACCTTAGATGGTTTAATCACAAAAAACGGTGGCCTTCCGATGACCCAGTTAGAAAATTAGAGGTATTAGATTTGACTTATGTTAAGAAAGGAAAAGGTAGACCTAAAAAGACTGGTTAAAAAATATTTAAAATTATCTATCTTTATTAGATTTAAACAAGAATTTGATTTTAGCATGACACAATGGAGAAAAAGGATTTATGTAGCTGACATCATATAGTGGGACAAAGGCTTGATGATGTTGTTGTTGTTGTTGTTGTTAGATTATTTGAGCTCTAGCCGGCTGCCAGGAATTTGGGAGAGTCGGATCTTCCTCTCCAATTTGAAAGCATTTCTCTTTATAGTTCTTTTAGTAAAAATTATTTTGGGGCTTTCTTCTTCCCAATCTTTTGTGTTTCATCCGCTGATTTTGGTGAAAAGTGCATCCACTTCCTATCAAATTGGTATCATACACTTATTTGAGACCTATGGCGACAAAGAAAGTTGATGCCTTGGAAGAGTGTTTTAAAGGAAATGTTGGCCAACTCAAATCGGTATTTGAGGACAAAATGTCATCAATAGAGTAAAAGTTTTCCAACCTAGAAGGAATGATAAAGAAGCAGTTAGATCTTCACGTCAAAGGAACTTATCAATATCAACGGCAATCAATTCTTGCCAAGTAGAACTGTTAACAAAGCATGAACAAATTTGCTAGAGAAGCTAAATCTGATGCAAAATTTTGTTTAATAAATCCTGCTTATATCGGACAAGATTCCAAATCCTGTAGTTTCTCAATCACAAGTGAACAAGAATTCAATGACCTCACCTATAGAGAATCTGGTTCCTGCCAGCTCAACATAACGGGTTGACACATAGGTGATTTTGGAGATACTGGAATTAAATTTTTGGTAGAGCATAAGAGTTTGGAAGGCAAAGAAGATGGGGAGAAGATAGAAGCATCATACATGGTTCAGCCACTCCTACAGCAGAGGTTGCCTTCTCCGCGGAAACACGAGCATGATATCGTCTTAAAGGAAGTAGTCTTACCTATCAGTGTTCGTCCGTACTGTTATCCCCAAATCCAGAATGATGAAATCGAGAGATTGATGAGAGAGATGCTAGAGGAAGGAGATCATTCGACCCAGTGTCAGTCCATTTTTCAATCCAGAACTATTAGTCAAAGTGCTTCAGCAACAATTTCCTTCGTTCCACCTTGAGGACATTGTGACACTTTGGGAGAAGAGTATTGATGGATGACCAATTTGATTGGGAGGAAATCCGAAAGTTTCTAATCAAGATGAAGCTTTTTAGGAAGGTTCTTAATCAAAGGGAAATTTTTTAATAATGTTTAAACTATGATTGAGAGGGAATTATTTAAGCAAGAGATCTAATTTGAATTTAAAATCTAAGAGGGTATTATTTAGGAAAAGGAGAAGGAATTAAAGAATGATGGTTAAAAAAGTTTTAATTATAATTGTGAACGAATTAATTAATGAAATAAATATAATTTAAATTCAAATTTGAGAGAATTATTTAGGGAAAGGGGGCTGATTTGAGAAGAAATTATGGGAGCTTATTTAAGGCTAACAATAGGGTGATTTCATGAGAATGTTTTGGAGTTTACATAATTTAATTTATTCATAGTTTATTTGGGCTCTAGTCGGCGGCTAGGGATTTAGGAGAGGCTCAGATCTTACTCTCCAATTGCATCTTGCATTTCTCTTTATAGTTCTTTCAGCAAAAATTATTTTGGGGCATTCTTCTTCCCAATTTTTGGTGTTTCATCCGTTGTTTCTTGTGAAAAGTGCATCAACATCCTATAAATATCAATTATTACCTAAATAAACATATTTTAGCCTTAAATACATTAATTTATTATCAACTAGAGCACTATATCATATATTAATTAGTCAAAAAAATCACTACTAAAACAAATTAATAATCTAATTTAATATTCTAATAATTCGTCAATTTAACTAATTAACAAACATATAAATTATGACTATGAATCTCACCATCATTGTACTCATCGAAGCCTTCTCCCAAAAAACTAAATCACCAATCAATGCGATTTTCTCCTTCATGTATGCCACTTGGACCTGTCAATGCCCTTGCCTACAACCTTTGTTGAATGTCACCATCAGTCAACCTGTCATTACCTTTTTCCTTGAGCTTAGCCAGATCTTGTTGTCACTGGCCCAGCTAGACCCGATACCCTTGCCTAGGAGCTCTCTTATGACATTCTCACTTCTTTATTGTCAGGGGCTTCAAGAAGAGGAAGATGGAATGGAGACAACAAAGGGAGTGTTAGGGCAACCAAGGACGTGACTGAGAGCAACTAAGGCAATAGGGCCGATGGGTGCGATGATGAGGTCTAGGGATTTTAAATGAGTGCTATTTTTTATGTATGTAAATAGTGAAGTTCATATACTAAATAAATAAATATTAATATTTTAAGCATTATGACTGTAAATCCCCCCTCTTTTGTAGCTTGTATTAACTATTTTCCAAACTTCAATCAATCCACTAATTATCTTAGTGCTGGCTAGCTGCTTACCAAAACACCTAAATTTTTATTTTGTTGCCATGAATACCATAAGTAGACAACAAAAACATTAATTTTGCTCACATGCTAATACATTTAAAATGAATCAAATTCCAAGGGAAATAGGAAAAAGAAAATTCATATAAATTCACTAACTATAAGTGTAGAATAACAAGTTTGCATAAACCTAGAAATAAAAATACAATCTAAATTGCCAGACAAAGTTCCTTGACCCAAATAGTAAATAATAAAAGAAATTATTTGGAGAAATTCACAAAGTAAAATAGGGAAAAAATAGGATGGCATGCATTATCATAAAATTAAACAGTAACAATATCAAGAAGAAATTTCATAACAACATCAGTTTATTAGTATATACAGAGATGTTCAATCTCGGAAAATTAGTGATATTTAAACACGCTAGTAATAAAGGTCGTGCATCAAGTGCATATACCTTTAATTTATGAAATATTTTATAAGATTCCAAAGATTTATAACCATTTAATTTCAATATTTAAACTAATAAAATTCACAAAAGCTTTTTATTAACCTTTGGTTTTCTTAATGTCCTCTAAAGTTGTAAGAACATGAGGAAAACATTTAAATACAAAATTGCATAAAAAATATTAATTCTATATATTAAAAAGTTGTTTTTCCACTCATCTGCATAAAACATTCAAAATTCATTATGTGCAACATGATTATATTTTGATTATACAAATAAATCCAAATACTAAAAATGATAATTTTTACAGAATTTTTAAGATAATTATCATGAATCAAGCAAAGAAACCAATAAGGAATCAAGTATTACATCTATAATATCAAGCCAAGCATGATGGAAAATATAAAGGCATTTTAGTAATTAATAATTCTTAGGATTAGTTAAGTCTATTTCAACAAAAATTTGTTTAGCAAATCAAAAAACAGCTCAGATCTATTCTTCATTACAATCATATAATCAGTTAATTCTAGAACTCTCATCGATTTTAAAGTTTTGGTGAAAAATTAAGAATGAATGTCCAGAAACTTTGATTGACAAAATTTCAATCTGTTTGTAGTAATATTAAACATCTTGTTCAGGAAAACTTTGAATCAATGACCTACACTAAAGAAAAAACCAAATGTTGTCAACTCATGGGCGCTAGTAGCATTCCATGCCTTGCATATTCAGATCACATTTCAATTGTATGAATGCATTTTATTATAGCACGAAGAGAGAGAGAGATGATATCATCCTGATAGCTAAAGAAAGCAACATCTAGATCAAAGCAACATTGACCGATAAAATGACAGTAGTAATGACAATAGACATGTTTAATGAAATAACGAAGTCACGCAAGAATAACGGAAGCCACAAGCATATTGAATAGAACTTAAAAGCGATCATTACTGCAAGGGAATCATGCAGGTACATTAAAAAAAGAAAACCAAGATAACATGTATGTCTGATCAGAAGACAAGGATTTGACTAACTAAACACCAAAATAAATTTTAAAATTTTGTGACAAAAACACTACAAAATCGCTGAAAAGTTTTATGAGTTAAATTGTTATAACAGCCATCCAATTAATAATTCCAGATATTAGTTAAAAAATCATATGCAGCTAAAATTACAAATCAAAAAGGGAAAACCATCTAGAATGTTTAAATAAAAAGTGAAATGGTCACTTGATTTAAGAAAATTAGAATGAATTAAGGAGGAATGATAATAGAACATAATAAAGAAACAATAAGAAATCTGCAGCTATATCACTAATTAAACTAATAACAAACCAACTGACCAAAAAGAACAAGTTAGCCATATTCATCTTTAACAGGAAAAGGACAAATCCAAATGTTACCTGTGGAGGAATAAGTGCAGGAGGACCTTGACCATAAAAAACCTGTTGTGGTATTCCAGGAGCACCAGGAGAATACATTGGCATCCTTGGAGCAACAGATGTAGCCACTGATACTGGACGCATTGAGTTAAATTGTGCCTAAAGTAAGAGTATACAATCAGTTAGAGAAAGCTTAAATACAATGTAAGAAAATATCCGCAGGTCCTGCAAAAAGGAACTATGTAACAATTAACTATGGTGATTAAATGATATCTCATTAAAAGATTCTGAATTTATAATCAGGGAGGAAAATTAATTGAACTTAAAACAGAATGACACTCACACCTCATAGCCATTGCTGTTGTGCTTGGCTGTTATGCAAACACAACATCCATTTTAGACTAGGAAGTAACCACATCCAATACATGGGGACATTAAAAATAAAATTGAACAAATTATAGAATAACATAAATAAATCATAATGTTTTTTCATTAATTTTTAGAATATTTTCCTATAGGCCTATTAATTGTTTATTCCATGAGCCCACGTGACTATCATTTTCTTATGCTTTTAAGTGAATGCAATATGCATATCTTTTTCTTATGCTTTAAGTGAATTCAACATACACACCGGTATATGCTACACCTCAAACCCTAACCTAGTAGTTGGAGCCCCCAAACACTAGAAAAATTTTTCTGTGCGGACACCGAACGCCATCCAGAGACCAATCAGAATGCGCCACATCACCATTTTATTGTACCGCGGTTCGGTATCGCGGCTTCCGAACGTAGAGCTGTGTCTGGCATCCACACAGAATAATTTCTCCAAACACTAGGCCATGGTGGGCAGTGTGTGTATCTCATCGTTGATTTCATGATAATAAACATTATGTTATATAATTGTTTGCTAATGTTTCATTTCTTAGCAACAAAAGAAATGACGTGGGTTCACTAGTCTTACTTAGAGGATAGGCCACTTGAATGAGGTACTAAAGTATAAAAGATATGAATATTAAAATGGAGATCACTTCAAAGTTTGAGTTGTAATTTAGAATTTATTGTCCATTGATTGAGTTTGATTTAACAAAAGTATAAAAGATGAATCACACAATTAAGATCTTTTAAAACTTATTGTCGATGATAGAAAAATAATTTCATAACTTTTGAGTATTTAATTGAGTTGATTTTCTATTTATTTCATTATACCCAATTTTCTTAAACGCAATACTTAATTTAAAAATTATCTTATTTAGTTATCATGTCACAATTTACTTATCAAATGATTGATCAATTTTGTACAGTAGCAACTTTAATTGATCCTAAATTTTATATTATATACATTAAATATGGCTGGATGCTTAATTTGGCAAACTATATCATTAAACGCCTAATTAAAAATTAAGCTTAATTTGCATATCATTAAAATTCGTATTTAAACGCATTATCTATTATAAAATTAAATTGATTTAAAATGTTTCACATAATATATTAAGTGTGCTTAATTAATTTAAGTGCTATTTATGAATTAAATAGGTAATTAAGTCAGCATTTTTATTCCATTAAGCTGTTTAAAATCATTTTAATATATAAAATCATATGTTTGCAAATATATTTATATAATTTGTTTCAATCAAGTTATCATCATAATTACAATCCTTGCCACTGCCTTGTTGTCCTCGATCATGCAGATCTAGTGAATATCGAAGATGCTCCAGCATGAACATGTTGGGATCTTGGTGCATTCAGGCTGCAATGGTAATGACTAGTTTCACTAGCCAATGGTATTTCCATGTAAGGCTTTCTACTACTCGATTGAGGGAACCTTTCGAATATATTTTAGTAATATTTTAAAGAGTTTTTAAATGTTATTTTAAAAGGACATCTACTCTATAAATACCACCTCGTGTGAAAAAGAAAAGTCTAATGGATTGGTGCAACAAAATGCTTCCATGCTAAATCTTTTTAAGAGCTTCTTCAAGAAAAGAAAAAGTGTTCATATACATCATACAATCCATGAGTAGTTCCTAGTTAATAGCATCCTTACTCTCTCAATCTCTAGGTTTATGTAAAGTTTATTTTACATTGTATAACAATTTATTAATAATAAGATTGTGCTGTATAAGTGGATGATAACTATCCGATCACCTACAAAGTTCAAGAAAGAATTTGGCTTAGTTTTTTCAGTCATAAACCTTTGTAGCTGGGACAAGTGGAACTTGGTGGATGCGCTTGTCAGATCAAGGGAGCGTAGATGTGGATGTAGATCAGTTAGGTGTTGAACCAAATAAAAAATATTAATGTCAAACTATTCTTGCACTTTTATTTTCTTATCTACATTGTCTTGCAAGACATTATTGTGAGTGTTGAATTACTTAATAATGTACACTTGTATAGAGAATATTTATTTACATTACATAAGTAAATTTGTGATCAACAGTATTATATCATTTATTTGGATATTGGTGACCTAGTGTAGCTTTGGTGTTTGTGGAATTTATATTGAAACTTTTGAAGTTTACTTATTTAAAATTTATTTAATCATAACTCACTCACATAGCTTAATCATTTAAACTACACATTACATGTACATATGAGGTGTAATTACGCAAGTGTAGAGAACATTTATTTACATGTGCTCAATTTGAAATTGTTCTCACATTGCATAAATACATTTGTAATCACCATCATTGTATCTTATAAAATATATTTTTAAAATTGTATAGCTTTGGTGTATGTGGAAATGATATTGAAGCTTTTGTAGTTGAGGTAATTATTTAATTACTCTTAATAGCATAACTAACTGACACAGATCAATCATTTAGTTAGTTTGAACTATATGATGCCACTTGTAGAATTTGTGTATTCATTACAAGGGTGTGTTTACTAATATTAATGAATAATTATTCCTATTCAAGCTAGTCATTTTATAAAGTTCATTGACGTTGTGTCATATATCCTACATTTGTATGCTTAGTTGTGTGTTCAGCTTAATGATTATATAGTTATACTAGTTAGCTTCCATAAGAGTTATTGTGAGGGTTTGAATTTTTAGACTTCCAAAAAAGATCTAAGTTCCCTATTGCACACCCAATTCTCCCTCTATTGGTCTTCTGTCCTTGAGTATTATTCAAAGTTAAATCTTAGGTCAATTCGACCTTGGCCTTAAAGTTAGCTCAAAATACTTTAATTCAACCTAAAGTCAAGTCAAATGTGATTATATGCTAGCACAATCCAATTTTAAAGGAATCTTCAATCTTAAGAATATTTTAGAATGATTAAGTAATAAATTATTATGTGATAAATTAACTAAAAAATTAAATGGTTGAAATCATATTTAAATAATAATTGTTAAAATCTTTAACATAATTGAAATATTTAATAATTCATTTTAAAATTACAATATTTAAAATTAGATAAACAAGTAAAACATTATTTCCTAAAGATTAAACTAATTTTTTTATGAATTAAGAGAAAATAAATTTTTAATGACTTTACATCTACTGTAAAAAAAGAAATAAATAAATATAGAAATATTATGTATATTATATTAAATATATTAAACTGGTAAAAATTTATGAAAACTTTTTTGAAATCAAGCTTTCACCTTAGAATATAAAGCTAGTATATATTATTTTTCTTGTCTTAAAGATTTGAAATTAATTATTCAATTTGTTAAGAACTTATAATAATAAAGAAATATAAGTTCTTTTCAATTTAATTATCTATATTAATTAGTATCATAATGTGATAGTAGGCCACAATATGATATATAAATAAAGTTAGTATTAAATTGGTTGGATGAATGTGACATTGTGATAATTCCTATTTTGACTTTAAAAAATAAGAATGTTAAAATTTGAGAGAGCCACATTTTAAAATGGAGTTGTCTTATTGCTTTGAACTTCTAGAGGGAAATTTCTCAATTGTTTTGGCTTAATAATAATAATAATATATAAATGCATGTGTGTTAAAATTACCTGTAATTGTGCTCTCCTCTCTTCCTTTTTCTGAGCAAGTGCAACATAAAGAGGTTTGCTACCGATCAGCTTGCCATTCATTTCCAAAAGCTACAAATCAATACAAACAGAAGAACAATAAGGAAAGCACATGTGAGACATTCAATAGACCTAAACATAATAGAAACTAATACTTACCGCTCGAGAAGCTTCTTCTGCAGCTGAAAAAGCAACAAAAGCTGATCCTTTACTTGTTCCATTTGGATCGCGCATAACCTGAATGGTTGTTAGAAGTTATACATAGAAGATAAGAATAAAAGATAAGAAAATAATTTTGGCAAAAATATACCACCTTGCAAGATGTGATAGTGCCAAATTCAGAAAACAATTCCATTAATTTCTCATCCCCAATACTATCATCCAAGTTCTTCAGGAACAAATTAAGGCCCTGGTACTCTTTAACAATCTCTTTATTATTCGGATCATTTCTTCCCTTCAATTCTATCTCTCTTTCATGTTTCTTCTGCGCTTTCCCAACATACCACTCCTTTCCATCAAATTTCTTTCCATTCAGTTCATTTACAGCTCGCGCAGCATCATCTGAATTCTCAAAATTCACAAAGCCAAAGCATTTTGACTTTCCATCCCCTGCTCTCATTACAACAGTACTAGTAATTTTTCCAAATTCACCAAAAAATTTTGTCAGATGATCTTCTGTTGTAGATTCAGATAAATTTTTTACAAATACATTGTTAAATGTTGCAATATTTGATGTATTCTCCCTTTCCAGCTTACGTTGGAAATGTCCAACATAAATTGGTTTGTCATTGAGACACATGCCATTTAACTTTTCAATAGCATTTAGTGCTGCTTCCTCTTGATCAAACTGTACAAAGCCGAAGCCTTTTGACCGACCAGACTCATCAGTTTCTACTTTGCACGAAAGAATGTTACCAAATGCAGAAAAGGTGTCCAGAAGTGCTTTGTTATCAATTGTTTTATCCAAATTCTGCAGAAATATCACAAAAAAGGGAGATGAGAACATAATGGAGCATGAGTACATAAAGATGGATTGATCACCTCCTACTAGAAAAATGTTAAAAAACACACACACAAAACAAAAACAGCAGAAATAAAATACCTTAATAAATATGTTAGCAGTCCCGCTCTTACGCAAGCTAGGGTCACGATTTGAATACATTATTCGAATAGGCTTCCCACATAGAGGGGTGAAGTTCAGCACTTCCAGTGCCCTTGCCGCTACCAATGACAAAACATATAATCAAAAAAAGCAAATATTGAACATAATATGCAACAAATAGAGAAGTCTTGCAATAAATTAACCAACGCAATTAGTAACTTAAGTAATTACTGACAATTACAATCATGAAGATATTAAAAAAAATACATTCATATGAAAAATACTACTATATCCCATCAAATCTACATAATAATTGAAATAATGCCCAATTATATTAATACTTTATTATATCATATTTACAAGCAAATATCAAGAGTGCAGATAAAAACTTTCAGAAATGTAAATTCACTGCAAAATTACCAGAGAAACTCTTTCACATAAACTCCATAAAAGCAAAGAGAAACTCTTCGTTTCAGAGTATAAAACAAAAGTCTTCCTGCAGCAAATCAGGCCAGTAAGCACTGATCTGACATGCTCTGACTCATCTTGAAAGTTGATAAAATTTATTTCATTTCGTGCCAAAATGCATTCCAATTTCGTGTTGTCTATGTATCAATGTTTATATCATTTGCTATACATTAGCATTTCTTGAAAATATCTAGCTAGATAGACACCTTGGCTACTCTCCTTTTCTATAAATAAGGTTTTTTTGTACTTGTTAAGTTTAATAAGTTTTAAAAAGATGTTGAATCTTTGAATCACCTAAACTCCTCCCCCACTATTCCTTACCATTGCTTTGCCATAACACTCTCCCTCTTCTACAATCTCCTATCCACTCACTCTCATCTCTTTCCCTCTTTCCAGACCAAGTCCCCTTATTCAAATAGATCTTGCATGGATCCAAATTCGATTGCATTAATATGCTCCATTTCTTCAGATATATATATATAAAGGTATGCGTGCACAATCTTTGAGGAAATTTCATCATCAATTTTTCCCTTATTTATGTGATTATATTGTTATACCTACTATCTCAAGTAATGTCGAATCTATGCTCAATTGCACGTCCTTGATCCTATGCGGGCCCCAACATGACTATGCTCATACATCAACACGTATTGCTAGGCACCAACCATCTTGCACGCCAGTCACGTACTCTTCCAAGAGAGCAAACCATCACAGAAGCTAGTGCCCATCAATCTATTATTGTCAATGCTCTAAGTATAAGTGAGAGAGGGTAACACCGCTTGTGCCCACCAAATCAACATTTCATTATTCAAGTACACCTATGATACTAACATCTTCTAAAAAAGCTAAACTAAAACTTTACATCAACAAGGGGGGGGGGGGATAAGAAATTGAACAAGAAGAGGATGATAGTTTTAGATGGATAGAGGTATAGAGAGAAAGAGATGAGATTAACGTGATAGGAAAGAGTAAAAGATGAAGTGAGTGAAAACCAAGTTAAAGGATGGAGCATGAGACAAGGGGCAGGAGCTTAAGTGAACCAAAGCTTTAACATCTCTTGAAATCTTATTAACAAAGACTAGTAAAAGAGAATTATTAATTTTAAAATAAAATGGCTAAGATATTTAACTAACCTAAATATTTTATAGAAATGTCTAATGTATCCCAAATGACATAAGCACAATACATCCTACCTTAGAATTAGGAAACATAATGGTGCAAAATGAAAGAAACACAATATTATGAACCATCTCTCATGGGCTAGAAATGCCTCTTCTCTATAAAGTGAAGTTGGATGCACTTGTCCAAGAGGAAGGTATGATGCAAATGTTCACTGAGCTCAAGAGTTTCAAATTAAGAAACGTCAATGTTCAAACAGCCCAGTCATAATCTCATAGATAAGCATTTGGTCTTGAATATTGATGAAGGGGGTGAGTTGAAGGATAAAATAACAAGCAAAGAAAGCATAACAATAACTCCAACAATGAAAACATTGTTAGGTCATACTGGAAGCTCGACAATGGCTCTTAAAAAATAAAAGATCCTCGACATAGAAAACTAGACTAATGTTAAAGTTAGTAGTAAATTTAATTAGGGAACCATTACAGTCCTTTTCATAAGTTTTTTAAATGGCCAAAGGAACAAACATAAAGATTTTTTAACGTATGTGGAGGTGAGTGTTTTGGATGGATACATACAAGAAACATAATAACATTCATGAAATTCCTGGGTGCTCCAAAGAGTATTTGTAATTGCTTTATTTTTGACAGTTTGCTTTGCAATGCGGGATGTTATATCAGCAGAAAGATTGTGCATATGATTACCAAATAATGCAATAAAAAATGAGTATTATGCATGTTTAGGTAGTGTGGTGAGATCAATAGGTTCCTATGAGGAATACCAAGACAAAATTCAAAAGTAGAACCGAAGGTGCGATCGATAGTGTTTTTATGGGAAAACTGAGCAGTAGCAAGCACTTAATTCTAATAGTGATACCAAACTAGACAATGCAAAAAATGTCCAAGATATAATTGACAGCCTCTATTTAGGCGTTGATTTGTGGGTGAAAAGAAAATAAAAAGTCAACAAATTGTTAAATAGTGCTCTAGGTATGTCATGAATGGACCAAAAATAGAACAATTTGATAAAAAATAATAGATGATAAAGAAATTACAAAAAAACAATCTCCGGAATGAAAAGGCATACATAATGCGAGTCATTTTGAAGAATTGAAAAACCACAACATAAATATGATTGTTTCTTCATTCAATCCTAAGAAAAACAAAAACAAAATACATGCTCAAGTCATATCATGGCCTATATTTAATGGACAACTATGATGCGCATACATTTTGGGTTATAGGAGTATAAAATGTCTAACATGTATCAGATATAAACATGCGCCAGATACTCATCTAACACATGTTAAACACAGTTGGCATGCATTTAAATAAAAAGAGAATAAAAATGAAAATGCGTGCTTTTATGTATTAATAAAAACTAAAAAAAATCTATCATTTTTGCTACCCTTATATTTATTCAATAATACATTATAGCATTATTCATTTCATTTCTACATCCCCTACCCTGATTTCAGCTTTCAGTTTTCCCCTTTCTCCCTTCCACATAGCTATGGTTAGAATTGTGCGAACTCCAAACCCGTCCGCTGACCTCTCACTTCAAGTTGCCCACATTCAACAGCCTGCATCCAACTCACAATTAGCACGAGCCTTTTATGTGAGCCCACATGAGAAAATCCACCAACACCCAACCTCCCACGTGTAATGGCTGCACACATCTAACCTACTGCATCCATCCATCCACATCCAACCCAAATTCATTTGCATGAGCCAACATGAGAGCGCAGGGTTTTTATCTTCTCTGCCTTTTTTGCTCACTTTTCCAACATTTTATTGGACAACAGAGCATCCACTTTTTAGATTCCAAGAAATTTTCTTATTATTTTATTTTCGTTTTTTTTTTCAACAATAAAACATTCTATATTGCTCATTTTCATTTTTCTTAATTTTCCCAAACCGCAGATCATTTGATAGGGCTGCGTTTGACGAGCTACTCGTTGTTCGGTTCGATTAAAGCTCGTTTGCGATCATTTAATTAACTAAACAAACAAACTTGAACAATATTTTAAATACTTGATTCTTAAATAAACAAACTTGAACACTAATGTGTTCGGCTCATTTATGTTCGCGAACAACATCATTTGAAGTTCGTGAACAAGCTCGATTCGTGTTCGATTTTGAACTCGTGAATAAGCTCGATTTGTGTTCGATTTTGAACTCGTGAATAAGCTCGATAAAAATAATTAATATTTGACTATGGAATTAATAAATATAAATAATAATTACCTTTGTTACATAGACAATTGCTTTTATTATAAATGTATTTGTTCATAGATATGTTCATGAATGTGTTTGTTTGATAGTTAAAAAAATTCGTTAAATATATTCGCGAACAAGCTCGATAAACACTAAACGAACAAACATGAACTGAACATGAACCGAACATGAACACTCCTTAATTTAAATGACCAAACATGAACACTCACATACTCGGCTCGTCTCAGTTCGTTTGCAGCCCTATCATTCGCTGTATCTTTTCTACCTTTTTATCTTTTCTTCTATATCTTTAGCCTTAAGTATTCATCTTGAAGGCCTGCTTATTTCTTGCACCATGTGGTTTGCATGTTAATCTGAGAACTTTAAAATACAAATTGAGGTCAATCAATTGAACAAGTATTGCTTTATAGATTGTTGTGAAGTTTATATGCCTTGTTCTTTGAAACAAGGAGATTGGAAGCAATTAGTAGCTTCCAGAGAATTTGTCATTATTATCTCAAAAAATAAAGTAATAGTGAGTTTAGCTTTTTGATTAACTAGCACAACCAAATGTTGTCTCAAAAAAAGATTAAAAAAATAATAAATTAGCACAATTGGTCTTCATTTTTTATGGAACTGGGTTTGATAGTGCTATCTTCTCCTATCCATCTTAATGAAGTACATATTTTCATTTCTCATGGAACTGAGCTTGTTTGCAATAGTGGTTTATAGTACAAGGTGACGAATTTATACCATCCTTAGTTTTCTTCCTTTCTTTTGCTTCAATGATATACTTGTCCTTATGAGTTTTCTTAGAACAAGTTTAATTTCCCTTCTTAGATTTGATCCATGGGCTTGGCTTAAACTTGTTTTATATAAATGTACTCAAAAGCTTAGAGCCTTTAATAATTGATACAAGACTATAGGAGTGACAGCTAGTTGAGTTTCAGATAGTTATCCTCACTGAAAAACATAATTTTGTAATTGATTAGAGCCAAATTCAAGTAGAGTCACAAATGACTGATATTGAGTTGCTTTTCAAGCTGATTTGAGCAAATAAATTTCTAAATTGAGTATTTATAAGTTATGAAACCTTCATCTTTTGAAAGTTAATATTAGTATTAAATGTCTTGCAATGTCTTTAATGTTCTTAATATTCTATTTAGTTTATTTAAGTTATATGCATCATTTTTTTTTATTTTAAAGACATAAAAATTATAATGGTGTGTTCAATGTGTAATTCTATTTCTTATTTTTTAATAATAGATGTGCCCCTTGTTTGTGTTGTGTCATATCCATGTCTATGCATGCTAGAT